GGGCTGGGAGTGGCTTCGTCCTCATCCATGCCAGCTTGGCGGCTGGTGCGGGGCGAGCCCCGCCTGCACAGTGCGCGCAATTCAGCACACGCACCACCCATACCTTTGTTCGATGGACCTGTCACGTCCGCACACGCACATGCAGACTCAAACTCCCATGCGCACATACGCCCGCGCACGTGCGCTCGTGGTCACACACACACACACACACTCTCGCACACACAAACACACACACACACACACACACACCCGTGCTCACGCGCGCGCAGAGACCAACGCACTGCAGTATGCTGTCCCTGGCGGCCTCATCGGCGTCGGCCTCACGGTCGACCCCACCCTCACGCGCGCGGACAGGCTCGTCGGGCAGGTGCGTGGAAGCTGCCACGCACCCGAGGCCCTCACCCCCATTCGTCACCCCACCCCACCCCCGCACCCATCGGCCTTGGGGACAGCCCACTCCTGCCCTGCCTGGAGTCCGCATGTGTGTGTGTGTGTGTGTGTGTGTGTGTGTGTGTGCATGCGCGCCAGCCGCAACACGTGCAGCGACGGGCCGGTGCAACGCGCGGCCGCCACACTGCGTTCGGTCCCTGATCTCGTGCGTCTCGTTGTGATCTGACCCGGCCTCATGTAATGCCACGCAGGTGCTGGGTGAGGTGGGGAAGCTGCCCGAGGTGTTCAGCGAGCTGGAGATCAACTTCTTCCTGCTGCGGCGGCTGCTGGGTGTGCGGAGCAAGGAGGGCGAGAAGCAGAGCAAGGTGGGGCACCCCTCCTTTGATACCGACCCCCGCGCCCCCTTCCTCTTGCCGTCCATCCTCCCCCGCGAGCTGCCGCCCCCGCGGGACGCGCCGCGCCGCCCTCCCCCACTCCTTCCACTTATGCCCGGCGCCGCGCGGCCCTGCGGCCGCCGATGAGCCCGCGGCCAGCCCCCGCAGCGGCGCCACCACCCAGGCGCCCCCGAACCCCCCGAAACCCGCAATCACCCCTCGAAACCTCTGAAACGCCTGACCCTCCCAGGTGACCAAGCTGTCCAAGGGGGAGGTGCTGATGCTCAACATCGGGTCCATGTGCACGGGGGCGCGCGTGCTCGCGGTGAAGCACGATCTCGCCAAGCTGCAGCTGACCACGCCGGTGGGTGGGGGGTGTACGTGGTGTTGGGTCTGTCGTGTTTGGCCGCACTTGCCGCTGGCATCCGCACGTGCGCATGCATCTGGCGCGCGGACGGGCGCAGGATCTGGGCGGCTGGGCTTGCGTTTCTGGGGGCGGAGGGTGAGGTGGGCTCGCCCGCGCAGCGGCGCGCACGGCCACGGCGATGCTGGGCTGCGTCTGGGCCGCAGCAGGCACGGGGCGTCGGTGGTCGTAGCGCCCGCGGTTGGAACCATGCAGCTGCGTGGGGGTTCGAGCCCGCACGCGTCCTTGGGGATTGGAGTGCCGGGGCATCGTGTCGGCACGCCCGCGCTCTGGCTCGCAGCATTGGCACGCCCGCCAGCGTGGTTGGTTGGTGCGCCCATTTGCTCTCGCTCGGTCGACTGCTGACCTTTCTGCTGACCGACTTGCGCGATCCGCCCTGTTGCAGGTGTGCACCAAGGAGGGGGAGAAGGTCGCCCTCAGCCGCCGCGTGGAGAAGCACTGGCGCCTCATCGGGTGGGGGCAGATACAAAAGGGGCTCAAGATGGACATGCCGCCGCGGCCGGTCGACTGATCTCGGATCTCGTGATCTGACGCGGGGCGCGTGGCTCGGCGGCCGCGCAGGGGCGAGGGGGCTTGCGCGCTCTGGGGGGCGTGCGCGCTCTGTTGGGCGCGGTCTTCGCCCCTCGTGTGCCCTTGCCGCTTGCGGCAACGGCGGCGGCAGCGCTAGGGTTGTTTGGATTGGCGAACAGTCAGGCGGCCGAAGCGCGCCGCTGTTGTTTTGTTTTGTGTGTGTTCATGCACAGTAATCATGAGTTAGCTTGCCACCAACATTGCCCCCTGGCGGAGCGCTTTCAGGGGGGGGGGGCGCGTCTCAGCTGTCTTTAGGGCGGGCATGTTAGGGTGGCCATTGGATGATGCCGCTCGGACAATGTCGGATCCATGTTGTGCCCGGTGCGCCTGCACGTTGGCAACTGGCGTAAGGAGATTTGGATTGCAGGGCTGAGATAGCCTTCATGAATCAGGAGCCCAGCTGCATACGTGCCGGCTTGAGCGATACGGTAATGATCCCAGCCGACAATAGTGGTGTTGACCAGTGTGCCGCAATTGCAGTTTGCTCTTGAAAATTGTCGACTCCAGACGCGGAGATGGTGTTGCGGTCGCATCTCTCGATTGGGTGAGTCTGTTGATGCTTCGGAGAGCGGCATGCTGCGGCCTTCGGTGAGGCGGTCACCGGAGTGTGTGAAATCCTTGCCAGACCCGGCTACGGCAGGTTGCAGGTATGATGATCATGTTCAAGTATCTTTCAACGCTTTCAGCCGCTGCGCACGTGTGTAACCTTCGCGGCCGTGCAATCATAGACTATCCGAGCTGCTGACCTTGACAGCTCTCAGTTCCCTCTAAGGTGCCCACCGTAGCCTGTTGATAACGCGTGTTGCCTGCTTCCTGCACCGGCCTGCGCTGCTTGCTGACCGATCGCCGCGGCCCCCGCCGCGCAGCTAAAAGCGACGGCGTGCGGCGCCGGCGCTGCCCTTCAAGATGAGCACGAGCAACACCATGAGCCGGCGTGCCGAGGTCGCAACCCGCAGCAAGGCGGCGGCGATCCATGAGATGCTTGTCGCCAAGACCCCCGGCCGCGCCTCGCTGGATGGTGCGCAAGGGGATTGTGCTGTGCATGCGCTCACATGGGCGCGCGCATGAGCGCACATGGGCGCGCATGCGGGTACATGCGGCCGCATGCGGCGGCTGCCTCCCGCCGCTGGCCGCCCCAAGTGCGAATATGCCACCCCATGCGCAACAGCCGGCCCCGGCCCCCCGCCGCCCTCATCCTGTCGCCGTCACCAATCCCACCGTGCCGCGCCGCGCCCCTCCGCGCCGCGTCGCGCCGCTCCGTGCCGCGTCGCGCCGCGTCGCTGTCCTCTGCAGGCCCGGAGCGCGAGAGCCTCCTGCCCGACGCGTCGTTTGAGAGCTCGCGCCGCGACGGCGGTGGTGGCGGCGGCGGCAGCGGCGGCGGCGGCAAATGGATTGCTCCGGCATCGGACCTGGCGGGAAGCTGGACGGTGGGTTGTGCGGCGTCGCTGCCCCATCCGTCCCCTCCCGCGCTTGGCTCGCGAATGACCCCCGCCGCGGGCCCCTGTGCGCCCGTATACGCACATGAGGGTTGGGCCTGTGGGTAGGCGAGCCTGAAAACCGGAGTGCAAGGTCAGCGGGGGCCGCACCCCCACACACGCCATGAGTTGGCAGTCCGGGCTTGGACTGCTCTCGCGGCCCCGGATTCTTGCCGCGCTGTCGTGCCTCTCTTGGCGGCTCGTCCCACAGCATCCCCACCACCAACCTGCCCCTTCCCCTCGTTCGCATGATACCGCCATTCAATCAAACCCATCTATCAAGCCACCCGTTTTGGCGTCAATTCGCCCCGTCCGAAACAAGCCCATTTCATGCAAACCTCTTGTCGTGTTCCCAACCCTGTCCAATTCATCACACCAGATCCTCAGGAGCAGCTGGCTGAACCTGCTGATCTTCGCGGCGCCCCTGGGCCTGGCGGCAGAGTCGCTGGGATGGGGGCCCTCGGCAACGTTCGTGCTGGTGCGCGCATGAGCAGGGGGAAAGGGGGTGGAGGGGGCACGGCCGTCATGTATGCAAGGGGATCACCTGCATCCGCTGGGGCACGCGGCGTGGCACCTCGGGGGGGAACGGGGGTGGTTGGTCGCCCGCGGCGCCGCAGCGCTGCGGCTGCTGGGAGCGGAGCGGCCCTGAGTCCCGCCTTCTGTGCCCCCGCGCCGTCGGCTCGCACCCGAATTCTCCGCCCCTCCCTCGCGTCGGGACGACGACTTTACCATCCCTCGCTTTCGCCCTGCCTCCAAGCATCGCGCCCAACACCTCCCCCTCCCTTTGCCGCCCCTCCCGAACCGATTCGAACCCAAACTTCCCGCCAGAACCTGTGCGCCCTCGTGCCCCTGGCGCTGCTGCTGGGGTGCGTCACGGAGGACCTCTCCCTGCGGCTGGGCCAGATCGTGGGCGGCCTGCTCAACGCGACCTTTGGAAACGTGCGCGCGCCGCTCCAGCGGGAGGTCCTGGGATGTGCGGGCGGCGGCCCCGGGCGAGGCCGCGGGGTCCGCGGGGCTCGGCCCGGCCCTGCCGCGGCGACGCTTAGGTCGTGCGCGTGGCGGCAGAAAAGCCAGGTCCTCGCCTCGTAATCCTGAACAAACACCACAAGCTTCCGGCCACCACAACAGCGCGCCGCCCCAGCTCAACCCTCGGTGCCTTGCCAACACCTCACCCGCCCCCTGGTCCTCCTCTTCCCCCCGAAATTCGAAAATTGAAACAGGTGGTCGAGATCATCCTGTCGATCGCGGCGCTGCAGAAGGGGCTCTACCAGGTCGTTTCCACGTCCCTCCTGGGGTCAGTGCTCTCAAACATGCTCATGGTGCTGGGCATGTCGTTCTTCCTCGGAGGCATCAAGTGAGAGGGCCAGCCGCGCGCCGCAGACGGATCCCTTGCTCCGCGCCGCGCCCGCGAGGGGTGTGCGCGGGCGGGGCGCTGCCAACTTGCCCCCATCCGTGCGTGCGACTGGGGCGATGCGCGTGCGGAAGTCCGGTTGGCGCTCCCAGCCCCCCTTGGACCCCTCCCCAAACATCACACGTGTGTGTTCTGAAGCTGCTCCCGCCATGGGGCCCTCTTCTCACCGTTCTCTGCCCAAACGCGCAACTGCTTTGCATCACCAAATCAATCGCACACCACACACTCGCCTGCCTGCGCATCCTCCCACCCAGGTTCAAGACCCTGCGGTTCAACAGCCTGGCCAGCCAGTCCAGCGTGTCGCTGCTGCTGCTGTCCGCCATCTCCATAGTGCTGCCCACGGCCGCGCTGCACCTGTCAATGGGGGGGCCGGACGCGGAGCACCTGTCGAATGACAAGTGAGGGTGGTGTGTGTGTGTGTGTGTGTGCATCGCGTGGGTGTATGATGTGTGAATATGTGTGCAGTTGTGTGTGTGTGTGTGATGTGTGTATGTGTGTGTGTGTGTGTGTGTGTTAGCCTGAGAGAGAGAGAGAGAGAGAGCGTGTGCGCGCGTGCATGTGTGCGCGTGCGTGCGTGTGTGCACCTCCCTCCCCC